CCCCCCAGCCCCCCGCCTTTTCAACTTTTTAAAAGTAGAAATCAGATCGAACTGTGTGTTTAGGTTTATATAAAAGTTGTTTAGCCTTTTAAAAAAAATCCGTAAAAATTGTGAAACCGTCGGGAAAATGTCGGTAACTTCGATTTCATTTTTTGGCGAACGCCTACTTTCAACAAAATGCCTCACATATTATTTTTTCGGCTTATCGTCACCAAAAATTTGTTGTTTTTATTTAGCAGACGCTTAATTTGCGGAATATGCTAAAGAAGAATATTTTTTTCGAAACTCACAATTTAGATTTTGAAAAAAACGCAAAAAGTTCTAAGCACGCTTACAATTATTGTTAAAATATTGAAACAGTTATTCATTATTCTCCTGTAAAATGTTCCTTTCTGGTCTTAATACATTTTAACAGTATGCCGACGATATGTTCTGTTCCACTTCGAACCAATGTACGTGATTCATGGGTGGACTGCTTCCATACTGACTCTCTCAGCCTGTCCTGTGTATCCTTTGCCAGGTGTTTCCATGACGTCCCCGCCTTTTCCCTTTCCGTTTGTACCGCTCGCCTCCATGCGATCTTTAGTTTTTCTTTCTTACGTTTTCCTTGTGGATTACACGTCAAAGCCTGTCTGATGATGCTTGTCGGGGGTCTAATCAGGGTGTGCCCAATCCATCTCCATTTCCTCACCTGCATGTCTTCCTTTACTGACCTTTAGCTTGTTCTTTCCCACAGTTGAGCATGTGTGACTCAATCGTACCACTTGGTCCCCACTATCCTTCTTAGACATCCATTTATGAAGCTCCGCTGTTTCCTTGCTGCTGATGCTGTGAGCCTCCATGTCTCTGAACCATACAGTAGAACAGACTTCACGTCTGTTTTGAAGATCCTCAGCTTGGTGTTCAATCCCAGTTCCTTAGACATCCATATAATCCCCCAGGATAATGAATGCTGCTCTTGCCTTTTGGAATCTGACCTTGATGTCTTCGTCTGTTCCCCCTGCTTTGTTGATGACACTTCCCAAGTAGGTAAAAGATTCAACATCCGCCAATGGTGCCCCTTACAGTGTGATAGGAATGTCGGGTGCATTGATTCGAAGAACTTTCGTTTTATCAGTGTGAATATGGAGTTCAACACTACGGGAGAAGGCCCTGAGGCAATCTGTCTTCTGTTGCCTCTGGGCTCGACTGTTAGAAATAAGTGCAAGTCGTCGGCAAAGTCCAAGTCTTCCACCTGACTGAATGCCACTGCGTTGTCCCGATGTTGTCTGTCTCATTATCAAATTCACTGCTAATAAAAAGAGAAAAAGTGATAGCAGGCATCCCTGTCTCACTCCTGTTTTCACTTCAAACGAGTCTGTCCGCTGCCCTCCAAGTAAGACATTGCAGCTCATTCCTTCGTACATATTCTTGATCAATCTCATTATTCCGTAGAGGCGCATGAGCTTCCATATTGAGTCCGTATCTAGGCTGTAAAAAGATTTCTCGTAGTCTACAAAGTTAACGTACAGGGAAGGGTTTCATTCTGTTGACTGCTCCACTGTTATCCTCAAAGTTGCAATCTGATCTGTACGTGATCTCTTTTTACAAAATCTTTTTTACGAAAGTCATCTACATAGTTCCATTTGTCTTTCCGTATGTTGACTTTTATATTATCCTTCATTGCTTTGAGGTATTCTTCTTGAGCATTTGCTTTGGCTGCTCTTGTCTTGCTCCTGTTTGCCTGATCTTTTTCTTTTTCCTGTCCTCTATCTGCCTCAGAGTGGAAGCAGAGTTTTGGTCCGATTGTTGAAATGAGCAGATGATGGTCAGAAGCTACGTCTGCATCCCTGTAAACTGTAACATCTCTTATTAATCTCCTGAATGTCTTATTGACACATATTTGGTCAATCTGGTTTTCAGGTTAATGGTCAGGAGATACCCATGTTGCTTTGTGTATCTGTTTACGTGGGAAAACAGTTCTTCCTATCGTGAGCCCATTTGCTGCACATACTTCCACAAATAGTTCTCCATTCTCGTTCTGACCCCAAGTCCGTGTTTCCCCATGGTTTCCCCAAAGCCTACATTATCGCTGCCAACCTTAGCGTTGAAGTTTCCCATTACAATCAAGATGTCCTTCCTTCTAACCTGATCTATAGTATTTTGTAGCATTTTCTAGAAAGTCTCTTTCACATCCTGGTCCTCATCATTAGAGGGGACTTATCCCTAGATAACATGAAGGTTGATGTCTTTCTTCTGTGAACGTAATTCGGCTGATTTTAGTCGCCAAGCCTCTGCTTTCCATCCTATCAAAGCCTGCTTGGCTTGTGTTGATAACAGAATACCTACTCTTTCTGTATGTGACGAGTTTTCCTCCAAATACCCAGAGTAGAGAATTGTTTCCTCAGAAGCAAGTTGGCACTCCCCAGCATTCGTCCATCTCGTCTCACAAAGACCCAATATGTCCAGGTGGTAGGCCTCCATCTCTCTTATAGCCTGCAGTGTTTTCCTTGCCTCGTACATTGTACGAACATTCCAGGTGCCAAGTTTGGTACTTCTTCTGGTCGACAGGAGGTTTCTCGGCTTGGTGGTACCATTTCGGCTTGGCTACCCTGCGTCATTCTACTCTCCATTTTCTCTCCTCTCTTCGGTGATGAAGGTCCTCCATCTTCCAGAACTTGCGGTCGTATAGTTTTTGCTTTTGATATTTTTGTAGCTCTTTTTTGTTTTACAGGACCAAGTAACATAAAACATCGCAGTAGAAAGAAGGAAGGGATTCTCAAAAAAGACTGGTTTTCCTACTCGGAATCGAACTAACTTCTTTTTCTCCCAACTATGGACTGCTCAGCCACAATATCACTGACGCCTGCACTCTGTCAGTATGACTCATAATAAGCGCTTTTACGTCGAAAACGAACGAGGGCACTTGATAATGATTAGTGCTGGAGTTACTTATTAATTTTGAGCAACATACATATGAAAATGGAAATCCAAATTTTAGAAAGTAATACCTGTGAAAATGACAGAGGAAATTAGGGATTAAGAAGTTCATCATTATTTTTATTTAATGTTACGTTTTCCCCCATTCAGAGGTTAGAACGTATTACGTTTAGATTACATAAATAAAATCATGATTTCTTAAGGTCAAGGCTGTGGTGGATGTCCTACATATGTTTAGTGCTCTCGCCCTTGAAGTAAACAAAGAATCGCAGATATTCACATACAGCTGTTAAAACAACAACAGCACAAGCACACACAAAGCTATGACGTCAGTTCACTCACTGGGACAGGCCGACAGAGAGCACGTCTGCGTCTCCGAGTCACCACCCGGACAGTAGGCGCCATTGACAGGTGTGGGTCTGTTACAGGCTCTGGTCCTTGTCTGGGTGCCGGATGCACACGTCACACTGCACGAGCCCCATGACGCCCAGGTACCCCAGCCTCCGTTAACTGGAGTGTAGGGAAACAGGTGAGTGTGGGGAACGAATGTGTAGAGATACAGGTGTGTAGAGTAACAAGTGTGCAGGGAAAAAGGTTTGTATGGAAAAGGGTGTGTTGGGAAACAGGTGTGTAGGGAAACAGGGCTATACGGAAAAAATGTGTAGAGATACAGGTGTGTAGAGTAACGAGTGTGTAAGGAAAAAGGTTTGTAGTGAATAGGTGTATAGGGAAACTAGGTCACTAGTGTAGCATGGTACAAAGTTGTGTGTGTATTTTGCAATATTACAGATCAATAGTTACACCCCCCACCCCCAACCCGATCCAATAGCAGCCCCCATACCCCTCCCCAGCCCCCACGCCAATCTCTATCCCCAACCCCATCACAACCTCCCTTTCTTGTGTATAATCATGAGCATTTACAGGTGAGAAGGAAAAGGGGGAGGGGACACGGGCCCACTGTTTGTGGGAAGGAGAGATAGCCAGTTTAACAATGTGATAGATCATGGGAACATATTATACGATTTTAATACAGGTTCGATGATGATGATGATGATGATGATGATGATGATGATGATGATGATGATGATGATGATGATGATGATGATGATGATGATGATGATGAAAACAATGATGGCTTCGTAAATGATGATGATAACAGCGGCAACAAGGACACACACCTGGGCAAAGATTATGTGTCATGTCACAGCTGCCTGTGTCCTGTTCAGAGCCAGGACAGTCCGCTCCTCCGTTCTGTTTTGTTGGACGGTCACATGACCTCGACCTTGACCTCGTTCCCACCGCGCCACAGGTCACAGAGCACGACCCCCAGCCGGACCATGTGCCCCAGCCGCCGTCAACTAGAATTGTTTTTAAAATTCAGTTATCTGCCTTTCGGGAAGTCAACAATGTTTTTTTTTTCAGAGTTCTAAAAGTCTGCTGGGGAAATAATAGTCAGTTGTGAAAAGCACAGAGCTACCAAAATATAAAAAATATATAAATTGCTTTAGTATCCTGCAGGAAAAAAAATCTTAGACCCGAAAAAGAAAGTACTTTGCATCAGCCTCAGTCCTGCACACGAACAAAAATTGTTTGGCCTATCTATATAATTAAAGAGTACATGTATGGAAGTCATTGATCATTTCATTGAAGACGAAGTTAAAAATGTATAGTAGCAATATTTTGGATGTATGGATGTATTGTTCAGAGATATGGAAAACAAACAAAACAATTCAAAGAAAATTGAAAGGTTTCAAGCAAAATGTTTACGAAGAATGTTACTAGTATAATGGAATGAATTTATTACAAATGATGAAGTGTTGGAAGGAGTTGGAATTTAATATATCAATACAACCATAAAAAGAAAAAGATGGAAATATCTTGGACATATTCTAAGAATGCCGAAGACTAGATCAGACATATGGTACTGGAAACCAACTGGAAAAAGAAAACGAGCAACACCAACTGGGAACTGAAGAGGCACAATAAAGGATTATGCAATCACCCAGGCCCTGGATTTGCTGAAATTGGAGGATGTGGCCAGAGACAGGCAAGCGTGGCGTCGACTGCTCTCCGCCTCAAGTACCTGACGGTATAGGGAGAGTAAGTAAGTAAGTAAGTAAGTAAGTAAGTAAGTAAGTAAGTAAGTAAGTAAGT